TTCCTGCAGGACGATGCTCCGTCACACGCATCAGAATACACCACAGCGTGGCGGCCAGAAAAAGGCTAAAAGGAGAAAATAATGACATGGCCGCCTTGGTCATCTGATCTGAACCCCATGGAGAACCTGTGGTCCTTCATGGAAGGTGAGATCTACAGGGAGGGAAAACAGGGAGGCTGTGGAGGCTGCTGCACGCCATGAGGATCGCACACAGATCAAGACAGAATCTATGGATGGAAGGATTTAGAGCGGCAGAGAAAGGAGGCTAGATTGGTCACTGGTTTGGTTTCTTGGTTTTCTTGTTTTTTTGAATGTCGCAAATGTTTATTTCTGAATTTTGAGTTATATTGGTTTACTTGTGAAAATAAACAAGTGAGATGGGGATATATTTGTATTTTATTACGTTGCCTAATAATTCTGCACATTAATATTTACCTGCTCACACAAACGTCCTCATAAAAAGGCCAAATCTAATCCAAAAATATGAAACTTTGATATTAAGGAGTATTTTGGGTTGATTTAGAAAACAATAATAAAAATAATCCAAATACAACTTGCCCAATAATTCTGCACACAGTGTGGAGCGAGGAACCCTAACCCTAATTACACAGAAATAAAGAATATTCAGATTTATTTATTTTTTAATAGAGAACCATTAAAAGATTTAACTATTTGAAACACTGTTTTCCATTCGAGCAGCATTCCTGCCCAGAGATTCACATTTCTCTGAAGCTCTGAGTTCGATTTAAGATTTTAACTACACTTTATTTACCCAATATTATATAATATATTCAACCAATAGAATCAATTGTTGATGTAAAACAATTGTCAGATAAAAATCATTAAATGAGGAGCTTATTAAACTGTAGTTCATCTGACACAGAACATAAAATGTTGTTAAAAGCCCACAGAAGCTGCTGCAGAACCTGCTGGTCCTGCATTGAATGCTGGGAAGCCTCTTCCCAGAGGGCAGCAGGGAGAACAGTCCATGGTGGGGGGGTGAGGGGTCATTGATGATGTCACGGGCTCGAGACACGCAGCGCTGGGATGAAATGTCTTTAATCAGAATCAGAATCAGGTTTATTGCCATTGTTAGTAAAGAAGTTCACAACTAGGAATTTTTTGTGGTACAGTCGTGCAACATGAAACATATATGAAATAGTAAATAAAATTATAAAAA